CCTGCCTTGGCATAGAACCCAGGGGGGGTAGCCTACCCTAGGCCCTACCCAAGGGCCTAGGGTAGCCTAGGGTAGGCCCTACCCCAGGCCCTAGGGTAGTCTACCCTAGGCCCTACCCAAGGCCCTAGGGTGGCCTAGGGTAGGCCCTACCCAAGGCCCTAGGGTAGACCTAGGGTAGGCCTTACCCAATGACCCAAGGTAGACCTAAGCATATAGAGCCCGGGGGGTAACCCCCTAGGTCTACCCTAGGCCTACCCCCTAGGCCCACCCCCCCCTAGCCCTACCCTAGGCCTACCCCTAAGCCTACCCACCCCTAAGCCTACCCCCTAGGCCTACCCCTATAGGCCTGCCCGCCCGCCGGATCGAGCAGACGGACCAGAACGGATCGGGTAGGATCGGGCAGGCATTAAAGTGTGGAGCATGTTCGCACTAGCACGCGTGAACCCTAACGGGCGGGTCGGGTCGGGTCGGGCGGACCCTAACGGGCGGGCCGGGTCGGGCGGGCGGGACATTAAAGTATGGTGCGTGTACACGTGACACGCGTGGCCCCTCACGGGCGGGCCAGGTCGGGTCGGGCGGGCGGGCCCTAACGGGCGGGTCGGGTCGGGTCGGGCGGACCCTAACGGGCGGGTCGGGTCGGGAGGGCTGGTGCGTGTACACTTGACGCGCGTGAACCCTAACGGGCGGGTCGGGTCGGGTCGGGCGGGCGGACCCTAACGGGCGGGCGGGTCGGGTCGGGCGGACCCTAACGGGCGGGTCGGGTCGGGCGGGCGGGACATTAAGTATGGTGCGTGTGCACTTGACACGCGTGAACCCTAACGGGCGGGTCGGGTCGGGTCGGGCGGGCGGACCCTAACGGGCGGGTCGGGTCGGGTCGGGCGGACCCTAACGGGCGGGTCGGGTCGGGCGGGCGGGACATTAAAGTATGGTGCGTGTGCACTTGACACGCGTGAAACGGGCGGGTCGGGTCGGGTCGGGCGGACCCTAACGGGTCGGGTCGGGTCGGGACCCGTACACTTGACGCGCGGAACCCTAACTGGCGGGTCGGGTCGCGGACCCTAACGGGCGGTCGGGTCGGGTCGGGCGGGCCCTAACGGGCGGGTCGGGGGGGCGGGCGGGACATTGAAGTACGGTGCGTGCACACTTGACACGCGTGAACACAAGGGCGGGGTCGGGGGTAACGGGCGGTCGGTACGGGTCGGGCCCTAACAGGGGGTCGGTCGGGCGGCGAAGTAGATGGTGCGCGTGCACTTGACACGCGTGAACCCTGACGGGCGGGTGGGTCGGGTCGGGCGGGCGGACCCTAACGGGCGGGTCGGGTCGGGTCGGGCGGACCCTAACGGGCGGGTCGGGTCGGGCGGGCGGGACATTAAAGTATGGTGCGTGTACACTTGGCACGCGTGAACCCACGGGCGGGTCGGGTCGGGTCGGGCGGGCGGACCCTAACGGGCGGGTCGGGTCGGGTCGGGCGGACCCTAACGGGCGGGTCGGGTCGGGCGGGCGGGACATTAAAGTATGGTGCGTGTACACTTGACACGCGTGAACCCTAACGGGCGGGTCGGGTCGGGTCGGGCGGGCGGACCCTAACGGGCGGGTCGGGTCGGGTCGGGCGGACCCTAACGGGCGGGTCGGGTCGGGCGGGCGGGACATTGAAGTATGGTGCGTGTACACTTGACACGCGTGAACCCTCACGGGCGGGTCGGGTCGGGTCGGGGCGGGCGGACCCTAACGGGCGGGTCGGGTCGGGTCGGGCGGACCCTAACGGGCGGGTCGGGTCGGCGGGCGGGACATTAAAAGTATGGTGCGCGGCACTTACACGCGTGTACCCTCACGGGCGGGTCGGGTCGGGTCGGGCGGGCGGACCCTAACGGGCGGGTCGGGTCGGGCGGGCGGTAACGGGTCGGGCGGGCGGGACATTGAAGTATGGTGCACACTTCACGCGCACCCTAAAGGGCGGGTCGGGTCGGGCGGGCGGGCTAACCCTGCAGGGTCACGGGCGGGTCGGGTCGGGTCGGGCGGGCGGACCCTAACGGGCGGGTCGGGTCGGGCGGACCCTAACGGGCGGGTCGGGTCGGGTCGGGCGGACCCTAACGGGCGGGTCGGGTCGGGCGGGCGGGACATTCAAGTATGGTGCGTGTGCACTTGACACGCGTGAACCCTAACGGGCGGGTAGGCCTCGGGTAGGCCTAGGGGGTAGGCCTAGGGGGTAGGCCTAGGGGGTAGGCCTAGGGGGTAGGCCTAGGGGTAGGCCTAGGGTAGGCCTAGGGGGTAGGCCTAGGGGTAGGCCTAGGGTAGGCGTAGGCCTAGGGGTAGGAGGGTAGGCCTAGGGGTAGGCCTAGGAGGGGGGAGGCCTAGGGGTAAGCCTAGGGTAGGCCTAGGGGGTAGGCCTAGGGGTAGGCCTAGGGTAGGCCTAGGGGGTAGGCCTAGGGTAGGCCTAGGGTGTAGGCCTAGGGTAGGCCTAGGGGGTAGGCCTATGGGTAGGCCTAGGGTAGGCCTACCCCCCGGGTTCTATATGCCTGCCTTCGCGTCGGGCGACGTCCACTCATTGCCCTCCTCGTGAATGGCATGATAGACATTCGCCTGCAAGTTTCGCAAGGCGAAGTCCTGGTCGGCCGGTGCGGGGACAGCCCCGAAGGACGCATTCCTGCGATGCCAAGTCTTCAAGGTGTTATTCACCAAAGACTGGATCGTGAAAGCGAGCGTCCCCTTTGTTAATGGAGAAGCTGATGCCCTTGGTATCCTGAGACATACGCGCATGGGCATCGCTCATAGCAGGCGCTCCGGCGGCTGGCTCTGTGCCAGCTGCCGCTCTGACGAGCAGCGGGGCATCCTCGCATTGAGGGTTGGCCGTAGTAGTGAACGACATCGATCTTTTGTCCGCAGTTGCGGCCCCCTACTCGTCGACCCCGAGCGCCAGGTGCCCAGAAGGCGTTTTCATCAAATCAAGTACTCCGGCACCCTTCCCAAGGAGGAGCTTGCACATATCAGAGCCAGGGATGATCATCTTCTCGCGCCCCTGCTCCAGGATCAGGATAGTCCTCACGTTAGACATACTCCTCAGACCCAGGATAGCCAGGATATTTTACCCCTGAGCCCTCAGCCACGTTAGCTGAGTAGGTCAAGTCTCGGCGCAGCAGGTGCCCCCGCCGGATCTCCTTTTCCTTGCGCGCAACTTTGCAGCGCAAGGACTTGTCGCATACAGCGGCACCGTGCCCCATTCCCGACACGTAGAGCCTCTTCGTCAGGTTATGCTTCTTGATGTCGCGTCCATGGGAGCGGGATACCCGTTCAAATGTCTGTGCCGTTTTTAGACCAACGATGTTGATTTTGCTGCCGATGTACAGAAGGGTCGTCAGCATTCCATCCACCATGGTCCCACTGTTTGCGGCCAGGGCCAGTTCATGGCGTTCTCCGAATATTCCTGGCACCTCAGACAGCGTCGTACGATGCATACCCTTGCGGCGCCTCTGCCCCAACACCCAATCGTTCCTTGCCAGTGACGTGAAGACGTTCATGTATCCGCGGGCCTCCTCCTCCGCAATGGGGTTCTTCTCGAAAACCCAGGCCGTAGGACACTCGTCACGCATGTGCGGGCGCGGTGCAGATGCGAGCGGCATGTTCATGAACGTATCCTCGTCGGCACGCATGCCCATCTGGCCATCTGTGTCCACCATCAACACAGCGCGTAGCATGTCTCGCTCGGATATCGCACTGATGCCGCTGCGCACGCTCACCGGGCTCTCCGTCCTGCGCTGGCTGCGCGGGCGGGTGTCTCGCCTGCGCGGCATGGAGGTATGTGGGGATTGAAGCCACTGCGCGCTCCTTTCGGCGGTTCTCTCCATACGCCTCAGCCACATGTCATTGGCCGGCAACGCGGCACGTGCAGTCGTAGCAGTTGTCCATGCATTGTTGGCTGCGTCCGCTATCAATGGCATAGACGCATCCAGAGCAGGCGCGGTACGTGCGAGGGGTGTGCCGAAACAGGGGCGACGCCCACACCCGACGGGCGCTGCGAAACGTGCGAGGGATGTGCCGAAGAGGAGGTGACGCCCACATGCAGACGGCGCCACTGGGGCCATAGGTGCAGCTCCCGAAGGGGCCACGAAACGTGGGGGGGCGTGCCGAAACGGGGGTGACGCCCAACATGCGACCGGCGCAACTTGGGCCTTAGCTGAAGCTCCCTATGCGGTCACGAAACGCGTGAGGGGCGCGCCGAAACGGAGCGACGCCCACGCGCGAACGGTGCCACTGGGGCCGCAGTGGGGGAGCTCCCTATGGCGCCCCGAAGCGTGTGAGAGGGATGTGCCGAAATGGGGGTGACGCCCACATGCGAAAGGTGCCACTGGGGCCATAGGTTGAGCTCCCCATGGGGCCACGAAGCGTCAGAGGGGTGTGCCGAAACGGGGGTGACGCCCACGTGCGAACGGCGCCGCCGGGGCCGCTGGCGGAGCCCCCTTATGGGGCCACGAAACGTGTGAGTGGCGTGCCGAAACGGGGGTGACGATGACGATGACGATGACGACGATGACGATGACGATGATGATGCTGATAATGATGATGGTGATAATGATGGTTGTTTTTGTGTTCGGCTGGCGCGTGTTTAAGTGAAAGAAGAAGTCCGTGGGCGTCGGTCTGGCAGTCGGGGCTCTGGCAGGCGGCAAGGTACGCAGCTTTCTGGCATATGTATTTCCACGAATGCGGTGGGGGACCGAAACACTGGCAGAGATGGCTGCTCAGAAGACTCTCACGCCCAGCAAAGAAGCGGGACAGCGCTTCAAAGGATTCCACAACATTGGAAGCCGAGCACGGTTTCCGCAACATCACGTTGATGACCTTACCTTCGTTACTCAGACAAGCAGGAATCATACCCTCAAGATACTCGAAAGTCCCTGCAAGGGAATAAGCGGAAGCAACCACGGCAGAGCTAGAGACGGCCAGGCTTGGAAAAACGGGAGCCTCAGACAACTTGCCACCGCGCGGACCTCCAGGGGCCTCGGACCTCACATCATCGCCCCCGTCACCCTCTCTGCGCGCCTTCTTGCGAGGCGGCGACCCTGTTGGAGGAACACCAGCACCACAAGCATGCTCACGCACGAAATCGCCAGGCCGATGATCAGGAGCGCAAGACTCAGGACGAGGATCATCCTCCCCACGATGGTCGGCACAAGCACGAAGGTCAGCAGTAGCACGTTGAAGGGCGTCTCCACGACGGTCGTCTCCATAACGGCCGGCGCCAGCACGAAGGTCGTCTCCACGAATGTCGGCTCCAGCACCTCCACGAAGGTCGTCACCACAACGGCCGGCACCAGCACCCCCACGACGGTCGGCACCAGCACGAAGGGCGTCTCTGTGACGGTCGTCTCCACGAAGGTCGTCTCCACGAAGGTCGTCCCCACGAAGGTCATCTCCACGAAGGTCGTCTCCACGAAGGCCGCCTGCACGAAGGTCGTTTCCACGAAGGTCGTCTCCACGACGGCCAGCGCCACGAAGGTCGTCTCGGCGACGGTCTTCTCCACAAGGGTCGTCTCCACGACGGTCGGCACCATCGCCTCCACGACGTTCGCCTCCACGAAAATCGCCTCCACGACAGTCAGCACCAGCACGGAGGTCGTCTCCACAAAAGGCGGCTCCAGCACCTCCACGACAGTCAGTTCCAGGACCTCCACGAAGAACATCCCCATGATGGTCGGCACCAACCCGAAGGTCGTCACCACGACGGTCTGCACCAGCACCTCCACGACGGTCGTCTCCACGAAGATCGATTCCACGACGGCCGGCACCAGCACGAAGGTCATTTCCACAAAGGTCAGCTCCAGCACCGTCACGACACCCAGCTCCAGCACCTCCACGAAGATCTTCTCCACGACGGTCGGCACCAGCTTCTCCACGACGGTCGGCACTAGCTTCTCCACGACGGTCGTCTCCACGAAGAGCGTCGCCACGAGGGTCGGCACCAGCACGAAGGTCGTTTCCACGACGGTCGGCTCCAGCACCTCCACGGTGGATAGCCCCAGCACCTCCTCGAAGTTTTCCTCCACGATGGTCGGCACCAGCACCCCCGAAAAGATCCAGAACGTCGAGAGCAGCAAGTACCCGATCGGCATGATCGGCACCTCCAGGAAAACCAGCCCTGAAACATCCATCAGGAACAGCCTCTTGGCCAACATCTCCAGGAAGGTCGGTCCCAGCGTCGTCTGGATAATCAACGCCGCCCCAACGATGGTGAATATCCGCATCCCCGGTGTGATGAGCTCCAGCACCTCCACGAGGAAGCATACCAGGAACCGGCCGCATCACGAAGCTGATATGCGACTCGTCGCGCGAGTTCCGGTGTCCATGACCAACGGCGACGACATTGCCAATGTCGCAAAGCATGTGCTGCAGCAGTGCGATGGCCAGCCCATTGCGGACGCGCCCATCAGCAAAGGGGAATAGGCACACATGGTCCACAATCTTGTCTACGTGGCTGTGCAACTTGACCGTCGCTCGGCGCCCGCTGAGAAGTTGGAGGACGGTCCACTCGATCCGCGCAGCCGTGACCATGAAGAAGACAGAAGCGTGCGAACACAGCAAGGCCCGCAAATGCGAGCGGGTGGCCACACCTCAGGCAAACGCCTGAGCCAAAGTGGCTATGGTGATCATGTTGGCTGTTGATGATGATGAAGAAGATGATGATGATGATGCTTAAGATGATGATGATGATGAAAATGATTGTGATGAGTATGATGATGCTGATGCTGATGATGTATGTATGCTGATGCTGATGATGGTGACGATGATGGTGATGCTGATGATGGTGATGATGATGGTGATGATGGTGATGAGGATGATGATGACATGCGAAAGGCAGGGGCAGGGATGGGAGGAGGGAGGAGGAGAGGAGAGGAGAGGAGAGGAGAGGAGAGGAGAGGAGAGGAGAGGAGAGGAGAGGAGAGGGGAGGAGAGGAGAGGAGGAGAGGAGACGCGGGAGGGAGTCTCTTCAAAACAATGACTCAACACCACAAGACGGTTGGGAATAAGCGCATAGGGTCTGTTACGTGTGATGCACTTTTGGTAATTGTAAGCCGGAGGCTGCTCCAATATATCTGCTTACTAACTCCAAGAGAAAAGATTGAGCAGAGAAGGCATAAACGGAAGTCCTTCTTCTGACATCACTACGGCCATCGAACACGAGAGCAACAAATGTTGGTGCGGACAACCGTGGAAAGCGCGCAAACGAGTTGCGTCGACTGAAGCACTCGTTAGACCTCTACTGTGGATAAGGCGCAGAAGGCGCAAAGAGACGGAGAGAGAGAGAGATAGCTCAGGGAGGAGCGAGCGCAAAAAGCGGCTTAGAACCTGGGTAAGCCGAAGGAACGCAGAGAGGGGATCGGCCGGAGCTGCCAGCGGCGCTCCCACCAGAACTGGGCGCGACGAACTAGGAGATGATGCGATGATGAATGAAGAAGCCGTGGAGTGGCAGGGACCTTCTGTCAACAGAAAATAAGAGCAAACTATGTCTAACGGAAAGAACTATATATCGGAGAATTGCCCCGGCCAACCCTCCAGCCAACCCTGGCGAAACCTCCGGCCAGCCCCGTACAACTCTCCCGGCCAACCCCTCCGGCCAACCCTGCTTTAAAAAATGATCCATCAGTCACAGTAGCTGAAAAGGGAAAACAAATACACTGGAATAAACGGAGCGGATGAAGGGCGACTTCTTTTCCCAAAGCCTTCCAATCCCAGGACCTTCCCAATCGGGTGTTGCAAGAAGTGCCCCCAGCCAAAGGTGCCCTCCAGCTTCTCGCTCCATCTTGAAGCCTTGGGACCGCCTGGGCCTCGTGAGGGGTGCTCTGCTCCATCTTGGATGCCTTGGGGCCGGGGTGGCCCGAGGGGCCCTGGCAGACCCTGAAGCCTTCGGGGGCATGGCGAGGCAGTCGGAGGCCATTTGGGGACCCCCGGAGGCTCCGGGAGGGTCCAGGAGGCCTTCTTCTTTCCTCCTCCTCCTACTCCACCTCCTGCTCCTCCTCCTCCTCCTCCTCCTCCTCCTCCTCCTTCTCCTCCTCCTCCTCCTCCTACTACTACTCCTGTTCCTCCTCCTCCTCTCCTCCTCCTCCTCCTCCTCCTCCTCCTCTCCTCCCCCTCCTCCTCCTGCTCCTCCTCCTCCTCCGCCTTCTCCTCCTACTCCTCCTCCTCCTCCCCCTCCTCCTCCTCCTCCTCCTCCCTCCTCCTCCTCCTCCCTCCTCCTCCCCCTCTCTCTCCTCCTCATCGTCGTCGTCCTCCTCCTCCTCCTCCTCCTCCTCCTCATCCCCCTCCTCCTCCTGATCTTGGGAGGCCTTGGGTCGAGTGTTGCTAGAAGCGTCCCTGGCCCAAGGCGCCCCCAGGATTCCCAAGGAGGCCCCCACGGCCTCCAGAGCAACCCTCACGAGGCCCAGGCGGCCCCAGGGCGTCCAAGATGGAGCAGAGCATCCCTCACGAGGCCCAGGCGGCCCTCTGCAGAGGTGCACCCAGAGGAGGAGGAGGGGAGGAGGAGGAGGAGGAGGAGGAGGAGGAGGAGGAGGAGGAGGAGGGGGGGGAGGGGGAGACCAGCATGGTGCAGAGCGGGCCGTGGGGGGCTCGTTCAGACTCGAACCCCAGAGCCGACCCCCCCCCCCCGCAGCACCCCTCAGGTCGTCTCCCCCGCGGCCAGAGAACGCAACCTCGAGCCTCGCGCCGCGCGGAACGCCAAGCGCGGTTACCCTCCCGCCCACGCGGAGCGCTCTTGCAGAAAGCCTCTGCGCCCCAGGCCGCAGCGGGCGGTCCCCCGCTGCGCCCCTGGAGGTTGCCTGCATGAGGGGCTGGGAGAGGAAGGGGCGTGCAGGCCGAAGGGCCACCGGGAGGCGGCACGGGGGGCTGGCGACGACGCGGGGCAGAGCGAGGGGGGGGGGAGGAGTGCGAGGAGGAGGGAGGAGGACGAGAGGGAGGCATCGGAGGGGCAAGGAGAGAAAGAGCGGGAGGCGGAGCAGCAGGAGGAAGAGCAGAGAGAGAGAGAGAGAGAGAGACCATCGCGATAAGGATGAGGAGAGACGTTGAGCAGGAAGAGTGGGAGGCAACGAAGAACGCGGCTGGCGCAAACAATCATGAACGTTTTTTTGCGTGGGCTGAGCGATGGGAAGTCCGGCCACGAAACATGCGGCGCACGCCGTTTGGCTTAGCGCGCACGCTCAAAAAAGCCGATCCTCAAGACGGAGACGCGTGAAGCCGATGATCGGCGGGACACTGCGTGGGCGAGACGTGGTCCAAACTGGTAGCTACGAGCTGGCTACAGTAAACCAAAGTGAGCATGATCCCAAAAAACAGTCTGGATCCAGAGGGTCGATCGTATGTAAAGAGGGGCCAGAGCGCTGCCACCGATCGCGCGCGAGGGGGACGAGAGAGTTAGAGCGGAAGGCTTGCAGCAGTACACCAACACCAGCCCATTTCAGGCGCCTCCTGGGCTCTGGGTTGCACTGTAGACAACCCCGCGGCCTGAACCACGAGGGCCCACGCTTACACCAGTCTCGGGCCCAGAATGGCCATGGCCAGGTGGCCAGGTCAGCATGAGGGAAAGTCGGAGGACAAAAACAGTATCAATGTCACGCTAGTGGCAAAGACCCCATGAACACATCACTTTCGAAGAAGTACCATGCCCTTGCACAAAAAACTTCTTGAAAACGCGCAGAGCTGTTTAAAGACAACGCGCGTGTCACTGATACTCTTTAAATATCCATCCCGCGAAAGGGGCCCTCTACTGCAATTTGGCCCTGGATTCCAGCGCGAACCCGTGGGACCGACTCTTCGTCTCGGGAGCGGCTAATAGGGGGGCGTCCAAGAGGGGGGGGGCGCAAATCATGGCCAGCGGCATGTGCGCGACCCAGGGGGAGGCCAGGGACGTATTGAAATCAGAAGAAGCGCCATGAGATCTGGCGAAATATCATGGCCCACGCCATGAGATCCCCCCCGTTGTCATCACCCCCCTCTTTGCCGCCCTCGATCGTCCTCTGACACCCCCGGGACCCCAGGACGGCCACAGGAACCCGGATACGGCGAAAGACCTCCAGGACCCTGGCCTGCGACGACGACGACGACGAGGACGAAGACAAGGACGACGACGAGGACGACGACAACGAGGACGAGGACGAGGACGACGACGACGACGACGACGACGACGCCGACGACACAGGACCTATTAGACCTCAATGCTGAACGATGGTCCCTGCAAGGGGGCCCGTGGCGGAGATTCTCCTGCCAGCCTGCCTGCTGGAGAGGGCATCCGCGATGGAGGCGCGCGCCCGGAAAAGGAGAGCGGGCCCCTCCAGTTGAGCAGGTACCGACCGTCCCGGCATTTCTATAGGCCCACCACGACATCTTTTGAGGACCCAAAACATGCTCGAAGAACAAAACGATGCTCTTGGATTCTAGACCCGATTTGTTATGACAACGCAATATATATATATACAAATATATAGATATACATACATATACCCATATACATATACCAGAACTGTTCCCATAACACTTCGTGCAGCCAGCAAGAGGTTATCAGAAACCTCTTGGGTGGGCCTGCAGGCAGGCCAGGACGCCTCGCCACGGCTCCATCCAGGAAGGCCGTAGGAGCCCCGGCAGCCGCTCCCTCGAGGCCGCGGCGGGGGTTGGCAGGACTCAGGGCGCCCGGGGCGGGCGCCCCAGAAGCCTGCGGGAGGCGCGCCCAGGAGATGAGACGTCGAGGGAGAGGAGGAGGAGGTGGAGGAGGAGGAGGAGGAGGAGAGGAGAGGAGGAGGAGGAGGAGGAGGAGAGGAGGGAGGAGGAGGAGGAGGAGGAGGAGGAGGAGGAGGAGGAGGAGGAGGAGGGGGAGGAGGGGGAGGAGGAGGAGGAGAGGAAGAGGAGGAGGAGGAGGAGGAGGAGGAGGAGGAGGAGGAGGGGGAGGAGAAGGAGGAGGAGGAGGAGGAGGAGAGGCTCGGCACGAGAGCGCGGCGCGCGAGGCGGGCACACGCCGTGGCGCGAAGTCGCGCGGCGTGCGGAGACTGTGCTCGCCTGGGTCGCGGGGACCGCCGAAGAGCCCCGTGCCGGCTCAGACTGCTAGAGGCCACCGGCCCCACGCGCGGCTCGCACTCCGCCTTCGTGGAGCTCGATCTGCGCACGCCGGGAAAGTCGGGAAGACTTGCCCTGACGAGGCCCGAGAGGATGGCCGAGGAGGGCTCAGGAAAAGATCCAAGAGCTGCGCCGAAGAGGTCCCAAGAATTGCTACAACAGGGATCGAGGAGGCCTAAATAATGGCGCCAAAAGGTACTTCAGAATAGCCAAACGGCCCCAGGGGGGCTCCAACAGGGTGCCCAGTGTCGGCCGACGATGGTTTCAGGAAGGGCCCCGGAGCGCTCCAAGAAGGTCCAAGAGAGCAGCCCAAAGTGGGTTTCAAGAGGGCATCAAAATATAGCGATTTCTGGGATCAGCGATAAGCAAGGGTTATCCGGGGGCGGGCGGCTGATAACCTGACCTTCGCGCTGTGGGCAGCCCCGCACATGCTGGCGCGAACCAATGCTGCGGCCCCTACGGCTGCTAACGATGTTGCGACGATGCTATGATTCGTGCTGCCACGATGCGGGCACTGTCTGGGAATGCCG